GGCAAGTCTGAGGATAAGGAGGAGGAGGAGACGCATACTGAGTAGGAAGCGCAGGAGGCAGATGGTGAGGATGGGGATGAGGAGGAGGCAGAGGAGGAGAACGCGGAAGAGGAGGTGGAGGAGGCGGAGGAGTTGAAGGCAGAGGATGAGGAGGAGGATGAGGAGGAGGATGCTGCTGATGAGGATGATGATGATGCTGCAGATGATGCTGATGATGCTGATGATGATGCTGATGCTGCTGATGATGATTCTGAGGAGGAGGAGGAGGAGCAGGAGGAGGAAGCGGATGAGGAGAAGGAGGAGGAGGAGGAGGAAGAGGATACTGCGAAGCAGGCGGAGCATGCGGAGCCGGATGATGATTAGGAGGAAGATGATGAAGAGGAGGCGGATGCTGCTGATGATGATGATGAGGAGGAGGAGGAGGATGAGGAGATGGTGTAGGAGGAGGAAGAGGAGAACGATGCTGATGAGGATGATGATGAGGAGGAGGATGAGGATGACGAGGGTAAGGAATCTTACTACTACTACTACTACTGCTACTACTACAACTACTACTATTAATGCTACTACTGCTACTACTGCTACTACTGCTACTGCTACTATTACTCCTCCTCCTCCTCCTCCCACCACCACCACCACCACTACTACTACTACTGCTACTACTACTACTACTACTACTACTACCACTACTACTACTACTACTACTACTACTACTACTACTACTACTACTACTACTACTACTACTACTAATGCGGCTGCTACTACTACTGCTACTACTGCTACTACTACTACTACGGCTACTACGACTACTACTACTACTACTATACTACTACTACTACTACTACACTACTACTACTACTACTACTACACTACTACTACTACTACTACTACTACTACTTACTACTACTACTACGACTACTACGACTGCTACTACGACTACTACTACTACCTACGATGACTACTACTACTACTACTACGACGACTACTACTACTACTACTACTATTACTACTACTACTACTACTACTACTACTCCTACTACTACTACTACTACTACTACTACTACTACTACTACTACTGCTACCACCACTGGTTACGGTCTCTTACGCCACATCACCACGGCTCGACCACGTTGGGACGAGTGTCCTGTGGCTGCCTCATTGCCCGAGTATGTAGCAGGCACCTGCGTGCGGTGCAAGGCAAGGCGGAGCTCGACTCGCGGGCTGACGACGCTGCAGTGAGGTTGCCAAGGTGCGCGGAGGCAGACCAGGCCCAAAGTAAACCTACTGCCAACGGGAAGTGCATTACTACTACTGCTGCTACTACTACTACTACTACTACTACTACGACTGCTACCACTACTACTACTACTACTACTACTACTACTACTACTACTACTACTACTACTACTATTCTAACTACTTCTTCTTCTACTACTACTACTTCTACTACTACTACTACTACTACTTCTACTACTTCTACTAGTAGTAGTAGTAGTAGTAATAGTAGTAGTAGTAGTCGTAGTAGTAGTAGTAGTAGTAATAGTAGTAGTAGTAGTAGTAGTAGTAGTAGTAGTAGTAGTAGTAGTAGTAGTACTACTACTACTACTACTACTACTATTACTACCACGAAGTATCGTAATCGTAGTGATATATCTATTAAAAGTTATAAGACCGACAAACACCATGAAGAGTCAGTATACTACTGATACTGATGATCGTATTACTAACAATAGCAGGGCGAAGACGAATCATACTACTAAGAAGAACAATAAGGATGATCATGAGGAGGAAGACGAGGAGGAAGAGGGGGAGAGGAAGGAAGAGGAGGCAAAGGATGATGACGATGCTGACGATGATGATGCTGATGCTGATGCTGATGATGATGATGTGGAGGAGGATGAGGAGGACGATAATCAGGACGAGTAGCAGGAGGAGGAGAAGGAGCAGGAGGAGGAGGCGGAGCAGGAGGAGGATGAGGAGGAGCAGGAGGAGGAAACAGGAGGAGGAGGAGGAGGAGGAGGACGAGGACGAGGAGGAGGACGAGGAAGCAGAACAACCACACTACTATTATTAATAATGCTGCTAGTGATAGTATCACGGATTTTAAATAATACGACTAATAGTAATACTGATAGTACTGATCAGAAACCGTATGACGATAGTACTAATCAGAAATGGTATGACGCAGCATACTCATACGACGACGGATAGTGTCAACTATGGCAAAGCTCATCATGATGAGTATGATGAGGAGGAAGAGGAGAAAGAGGAGGAGAAGGAGGAGGAGACGGATGATTAGGATGCTGCTGCTGATGATGCTGAAGGTGATGGTGATGGTGAGGGGGAGGAGGAGGAGAATAATCAAGACGAGCATGAGGAGGAGGAGGGGCAGGAGGAGGAGGAGGAGGAGCAGGAGGAGGAGAAGGAGGATGATGAGGAAGAGGAGTCCAAAGTCAGATGCCGCGAGCAGCGGCAGGCATCGTGATGCCTCGGCTGCCGCTCGTGTCTGCATGCTCGCCCTCCAGCGTCCGTCGTCCTCCGCCCCGCTCCTCGTCCGGCGTCCGTCGTCGCTCGTCCCTCCCTCGCTTCCCCCCGTCCTGTCCTTTCCTCCGCCTCTCTCCCTCCTTCCCTTCCTTCCTCCGTCTCCCCTCCCCCCTCCTCCCTCCCCCCTCCTCCCTCCTCCTCCTCCTCCTCCTCCTCTTCCTCCTCCTCCTCCTCCTTCCTCGTTGCTTCCTTCTCCCTCCTCCCCCCCGCCTCCCTCCTCCCTCTTCCCTCCCTCCCTTCCTGCCCTCCACATCCATCCCCCCGTCTTCTTCTCTCTTCAACTCGTCCGTCCTTCCTTCTGCTTACCCCCTGAGAGGTTGGTCAGAAGCTGGGGTGCAGCGCAGTTGACACGCTCCAGGACACCAAGGACGGTTGGCCTGGAGTGTGTTCAGGTGCTCCCGCCATGCTCTCCCCTCTCTTCCTTTCTCTTTCTCTTTCTCTTTTGTTGTTGTTTTTTGTTGTTGTGGTTGTTGCTGTTGTTGTTGTTGTTGTTGTTGTTGAACTCTCATTTCTGAAGAATAATTCTTGTTGATCCCCCCTCACCGTTGCATATTGTTTTTTCTCCGTCAAAGTGTGCCCCTCGACGCTCGCACCTTGTTTTTTAACAGGGAAAGTCTTCCTTGTCAAACTGTGCCCGTGGCCCCCGGACTACAACAACAATAGCTGCCGCTTGAAACTTCCTCCTCCAAATTTACTCAGGACCCCCCTCCCGTCTGAGACTTCCTCCCAATTTACTCAGGAATGGCGCTCCCGCTTGAGACTTCCTCCCAATTTAGTCCGGGTCAAACTGCGTTGTTGCTCCCCTGGACTACAACAACAACGGCTCCCGCCTGAGACTTCCTCCAACTTTCCTCAGGACCCCCGCTACCGCCTGAGACTTCCTCCCAATTTACTCAGGATCGGCGCTCCCGCTTGTGAATTCTTCGCAATTGAGTCAGGACCCCCCCTCCCGTCTGAGGCTTCTTCACAATTTACTCAAGAACGGCGCTCCCGCTTAAGATTTCCTTGCGCTTTAGTCTAGGCCCCCGCTCCCGCCAGACATTCCCTTTTCAGGAATTGCGCTCTCGCTTGTGACTTTTTCGCAGTTTATTCAGACATCACGCTATCTACGCTCAGGCACCACGCTCGCGCCAAGGACGCCGTCACACTTTACTTAGGAATCGCGTTCTCGCCCTACTCAGGCATCCCGCTTGAATGTCCCGCCTGCCCGACCCGCCCGTCAGAGGATCGCCCGCCCGTCGTGGGCTGCCGCCCGAGACCTCCTTGTGGAATGGCGCTTTCGCTTAGGACTTTTTCGAACGTTCGCACTCTTACCTTCCTGCTCCTCCCTCCTCCCGGGCCGCCTCCCCCTCCTTCCGATTCCCTTTCCCTCGCACGTCAGCTGATGTTGAACTTTCATTCCTGAAGAATGATTTCTGTTGGTCCCCCCACTGGTGCGCATTGTTTTTTCTCTGTCAAAGTGCGCCCTTCGACGCTCGCCCCGCGGCCCCTGCTGCTTCCTCTCACCCTCCCTGGCCCTGCAGCGCTCTAGGAGATGGCACCGGGCACTACACTCGCCTCCAACACTTCGCCGAGCAGCACCAGAGGTGTTATATGGCGCTGTTGATGGCGCGACCCATGGCGAAGCCTTTGTTAACCTGTGTTGGAATGGCTGGCGCTAGCTGAACCGCAACTCGCGGCACAGATCATCGTCGTCCCTCCCTCTTGCCCCTCTAATCCCTCCCTTCCTCCGATCCCTTCGTCCTTTCTTTTTGTCTTTTCCCTTTTGGTTTTCCCTGTTTAGGGGCTTCTCCAATTACACGTGGCCAGGAAGGAATATACCCCTCCAAAAGGGGGTACGATCGAAGACGAAGAGGGCGGGTATCGAGGGTTTGGTATATGCATAGTGAATGACACGCTTGCCGGTAGGAGCGAACAGTCTTGTAATGATTGCTGTTGTTGTTGTTGTTGTTGTTGTTGTTGTTGTTGTTGTTGTTGTTGTTGTTGTTGTTGTTGTTGTTGTTGTTGTTGTTGTTCTCGTTGTCCTTGTCGTTGCTGTTGTTGCTGTGGTTGTTGTTGTGATTGTGGTTGTTGTTGTTGTTGTTGTTGTTGTTGCTGTCGCTGTCGCTGTTGGTATTGCTTGTCTTTGCGTCGCAGGTGTTTGCTGAGAGTGTTTCGCCAGTCGCGGTAACGTTGCTCAAACTAAAAGCCCTAACATGCTTGCGGGTACCACCGGCAGTGCCGCGATAGTGTTCGCCTTGCTGACGGGCATCTTTGTCCACCCGGCGAAATGGCTCGGCGGCAGCGTTTGCCCAGGTGGTCTCGTGGGGTCTCTCTGGGCTAGTAGTACTACTTCCACCACGGTGACCAGCACCACCCCGAGTGCTGGGACCTCCACTCCCCTGTCCATCGTGGCACCTCCCGCGCCGTGCGAGTGCCCCGAGCTGGGACCAGAGAGCTTCCGCGTCTTGGGCAAGGGCGTGGCAGGCTCGATGGTGGAGGTGCCCAGTGGGTTGCTGCTGCTCGTGCTGGCGGTCGCAGAGCTCGGAGCGGTGACGTGTGCCTGGCAAGGCTGCGCCCGCAGGAGCAGCGAGGCTCGTAGACGGCTGCCGCTGGGAGAGACACGTCTCCAGATCAAACAGTGATCCGCCTAAATCCAAGATCGAAGTTTGAGGCGGTCTCGAACCCAGAGCCAGGAGTTCGCGGTCTAGTTACGTTTGCGGAGGACCCTGGCTGGGCCCATTAGCGCGTCTTCCTCTGGCCGACGCACACGGAGGAGGGCGCTGGCTATTTCGTGTATACTCCAGGCGGCGACGTTTATGTCGAGAGCAGCGACGCGTACACCAGCACGGCGCTCCTCACGGGGCGGAAGGGCTACCCTCGGGCCGTGCTGCAGGTGGTGGCCTTCAATCGGCCTCTGGAGGATCAGGAAATGATCGTCCTGATCAAGCGGGCGCGCGCGGAGGCGGTCAGCCTAGCCGGCGTGAGCGGCCCCGAGGAGGCTCCAGACGCTGTCGACTGGCGGGGCGGCCGCCTGCCTCTGCCGCCCTACTCAGTGGTGCACGCTGCGTGCCTGCGGCGTCGCGGGAAGCAGAGCGTGCCAGAGGCCGAGCCGCCCCCGCTGCCGCCGCCGGTGGAGCCGCCGGCCCTTGGAGACGGTGGCGCGGCCACGCCTCCCCTGACGCCCGAGGGCTTCGCCTGGCTGACCAGCGACCTGGTCGAGCCCGAGGGCGAATTCGCCTTCGGAACCGAGGTGCTCCTGGGCGGGGACTCCTGTCGCCGTGGCCGCCTCGCGATCATCGCCGACGTCTCTGGAGGCTACCGCCCAGTGGAGCTGGTGGAGGTCGGCCGCGCTGGCGAGTGGCGGGAGGCGAAGCTCCGGGGGGCCGACCGCATCCGTAGAGGTGAGGCCTCCCTGGGGCAACGTCTGCTCGGAGACGGTCTGGGTGCTGCTGGGCCCCCCGCCGCTGCGCGCCCGCCCCCGGCTGAGCTGGGGGGTGGGGGCGACGACCTCCGCGCATGTTGGACCGACTGCGACGGCGCGGGGGTCCGCTACAAGGAGTGGCGCAGCTCCGCGAGGCGATCCAGGAGAGCATGCAGGCCGCCGACCTGATGGGGCCGCCCGTGTGCCTCGCTGTCTGCAGGGAGTTCTTCAAACACGGCGGGGGCCCCAAGGCCTGGTTCGCCGAGTGGGCCCGTGAGGTGGGCGGAGGTCGAGTGCCTCATCGAGACGCTCTGGCAAGCGGGGAGCTTCGACCAGCTCAACATGGGCGCCGTCGCGGCGGCGCTGGAGGTGGTCGCCCGCCGCTTGCTGCAGTGCGTGGAGGCCTACGCGAAGGGGGGCTGACGACCCGAACTGGAGCGCGGCGAAGCACTTCAGCGCGACCACCTCGGCCCTTGACCTGGCGCCAGAGGAGGTGCGTATGTGCGCAGCGCGGCAGGCCGAGGAGGGGGCGGAGCCGGAGAGCCTCCGCGCCCGCGCGCGACAGCCGGGCGCCGCGGCCCACAGCGGGGCCGATGCGGCGGCTGCAGCCACGCTGGGTCCCGCAGGGGATCTCGGCGGCGACGGAGCACAAGATATTGGGCCTTCAAGCTGATGCGCGGCAGCGCGAGGTCGAGGCGGCAGCCCGCTGGAGCGACGTTGACAGCGCCATCAGCGAGCATGGAGCCATGGCCGGGCCTTTGAAGGGCCGACCCGGCTATGCGCCTTCGCCATCATGCAGTGTCGGGTTCCGCGAGTACTCGAAGGTGTCGCTGCAGGGTGGCGCGCGCGACGCGCCGTCGCTCATCTCCACGCTGCCTTCGGAGGCGAGGATGCAGCTCGAGGATTTCGAGAGGCGTGTGCCCCAGCCCGCGCAGGAGTCGGAACTAGTTCAACAGTATGAAGGGGTGCCGGGATGCCACGCGGACCCGTCGCTGCAGGAGAATCCCCCGCCTGCGGCCGCCTCGCGCGGAAGGCCGCGGACGTCGGCCTGGTGGCTTTCACTCGCGAGCCCGAGAAGGCCGACGAGCTCAGGTTGATATTGGACTGCCGCCGCGCCAACCAGCTGTTCCACAAGCCCCCGGGCGTCTCTCCTGAGCGGCGAGGGGCTTGCTAGGGTGGAGATCGACGACTACGACTACGATCCACCTCGGCGTCGGCGACGTGGCGGACTGCTCCCGCAGGATGTGGCTGACGAAGACCTCGGGCGGTGACATCCGCCGCAACTTTTGCTGGCCGCCGCTGGCGGCCTGGCATTCTGGCATCAGCGAGCTCGTTGGTGTTGTGCTGGGGCCAGGCGAGAAGGTCTGGTCCATGTGCCAGCCTGCCTATGGGGTTTTCGTGGTCGCTGCATTTTGTTTAGACTGCGAACTCTCTTCGCCCGGGACGCCTGCCTGCCTTGGGCCGCAGCCGGGAGCTCTCGGACTGGGAGCCATCGCCGGCGCTGGGCGGGCCTGGCGTCATGGGGCACGCGGGCCACTGCATGGGCGTGGACAGCGCTGGCGTGCTGTCTTTCGACGGCGGCCTCGTCCGCCAGGTCCCGGGCGAGGCTCGGCGGGGCGTCGACCGCGACGCGCTGCGCTTCCACGAGGTGGAGGTCCTCAGGCACGGCGTGGCTTCGCTGGGCTGGCACCTGGACGGCGACAGTCGCGTCGCCCGCCCCAGCAGCCAGCGCTTCGGCCTGGCGCGCCAGGGCGTGCGCGGCCTCCTGCGTCTCAGGAAAGTCGCCGGCTGGCAGGTCGAGGGCCGCGTCGCCTTCCTGTGCCTCATGCGGCGCGAGCGTCTCTCGATCTTCCACGCGGTGTGCCGCTTCGCGCGGGGGTCCTGCGGCAAGTTCCAACCGCTGTGGGCTACCGCCAGGGAGGAGCTCGTCGCGTTCGTGCGGGCGACGGTGTTCGTCGAGGTCGACTGGGGGCAGCCCTGAACGCCCTGCGTCTACGCCAGCGACGCCAGCCTGCGCGGCTTCGGGGTGCCGCAGTCCCTCTGGGCTGTCGAGGACGTGGCGGCGGTGGGTCGCGTGCCAGAGCTGAGTCGCTACCGGCTGGGTGGCGCCCGCGCCCGTGAGCACGCTTTCAAGGTGGCTGGCATCAAGGTCGACCCGAGAGCGGCGAGGTGGAGCGCGATTTCGTGGGCCGGCCCGTACGGCTCGACAGGGGGGCGCGCGAGATCCTGGAGGCCGCGCGTGGGGGGCACAACGATGACTTCCCCGAAGTGCCCATCGGCCTGCTGGCGAGGGATCGCTGGCGCACCGTCCTTGCTGATCGCTGGCTCCCTCCTGATGACATTCTGCGCCTGGAGGCCGAGGGGGTCGTCAAGGCTGGGGCCCGTTCGCTGCGCGCCCGTTCGGTGAACAACTGTCGCGCCCTTCTGCTCGGTAATGATCTCGCCATCGCACTTTGTTTTGCTCGGGGGAGGTTGAGGGGCTCCAGTGTGCTTGGGCAACTAAGGCGACTTTCAGTTTCGCACTCGCTCGCAATGTCCGCGTGTATTTCCGTTGGGCCCCCATTGAGTTCAACTCTGGGGGCGAGGGCAGCCGAGTTCGATGCGTCTTATCACGCTGACAAGACCATGGTCTCTCACCTTGGGCCGGTCGCTGAAGCCTCGGAGATAGTGCTCGAGGGTGATGGGGGCCCCGCAATCAGAGATGGTGCCCTTTACCCTTCCTGCCCTCTACTCCGGAGGCCTTTCGGCTCGAGCCGTTTCTCGACTTCCGAACCTTTGCAATGATGTAGTGATGACGGGCCGCCCTCCAGACAGGGCTCGCGCGCCCTCGGCCCCCGCGCGCGGGCGCTGCTGGATTGCCTCGGTGGCCAGGCCGACGACGGAGGCGGCCCCAGCTCGGGCTCGCGTCATGGGCTTGAGCGGGCCTTGAGCGATCGCCTGCTGTTTCGCTTGGAGGCTGCAGTCCCGGGGGGCCTGGCCGACGCACGGGGGGGCACCAAGACCGACCTGGCGCGGAGAGCGGAGGGGCCCGTCATACCATGGGGGGAGGCAGCTTTCTGGGGCCTGAGACCAGGCCCTCACTGCGCTGATGGACGGCGGCCCGCTGTCCGCTCGCCTGGCGCCGCTGGAGGCGAGGTCTGTGACGCCGGCGGCCGCTGCTCAGTTTGCTGGCGCGTCCAAGAGTTCTTGAGTTGGAACCGCTCTTCGGCCTGTCCTGGGCCGCCCCGATCAGCTCGACGCCGCGCTGGTGGCCTTCTCGAATCAAGAGTTCGACGTGGGTCACAAGAGCTGGCGGGGGGAGAAGCTCCTGGCAGGGGTGATCTTCCACGGGCCGCAGTGCGGGCGACGCGGGGCCGATCGCCCCCTTCGTTCGCTTCGGGCTCTGAAGGGGTGGTGCAAGGCATCGACATCTCGCTCGCGGTGGCCGTTGGCGATCGGGATGTGGGCTGCCATCTTCCTAGCTGCTGCCCTGTCCTTGGTGATGGTGGGGTGCTATCTGCGACCTGGGGCGATGCTGACTCTTACTCCGAGGTCTTCCCCCCCCGGCACCGGGCGGGGTGTCGACCTGGGTGCTGCTGCTGTTCCCAGAAGGGGCAACCTGGGGAGCGAGACGGGCGAGAGCGACGACAGCATCTCCTTGGATTCCCGCAGGTTCGGCCGTGTGGACAGCGTGTGCCGCGTGCTCTCGCGTCGGCGGGGATCGGGCTGCCTCCTGGATTGGACCTGCCGAGAGTATGTGGAGGTGTTCAGGAAGGCCTACTCCAGCCTGGGCTGGTCGGCGGTGCCGCGCCAGGGGCGCCGCGCGGGGGCCGGCGCGGACCGCGCCGAGGGCCTGTGTGCCCAGGAGCAGGTGATGAAGCGAGGCTGCTGGCAGGCGCTGAAGAGTGTCCGGCGCAGCGAGAAGGCCGGGCGCGTCAACCGGGCTCGGAGCGAGCTCAGCCGCGAGGACCAGGGCCGCGCGGCGCAGCGCCTGCGGCCGCGGCCCCTCGAGCTGGTGTTCCTACAGGGCGAGGTCGCGCCGCTGCCGCCCCGGGTCCGCGGAGAGGTCGGCCCCGCCTTCAGACGTGCCGGGCCCTCCTGAGCGCGCTGGGCCGCTACCTGCTGGACCTGTTCAGCGGCCGCGGTGGGCCGCGGCGGGCGGCGGCGCGCCGGGGTTCTCAACAGTGTGGCTTGACCTTGGCAATTCGCCCGATCAAGACCAGACTTCTAGAGGGAACGTTCGTGCCATAGTAAAGCATATTTCAGAGGGCCGAGTGGCCGCGGTGATGATGGCCCCTGTTTGCTCTACATCTTCCGTTGCGCGCGATCGTTGCCCTGTGCGTGGCTCTACGCGTGTTCGTGGGCTTCCGAGTCTTTCTGCAGTTGACCGTCTCAAGGTTGACATCGGCAACAGATGCTTGGACACGTGCGTCGAGGTCTTGAAACTTTGTAGGCAGTTTGCAGTTCCCTGTGCCCTACAGAAGCCTCATACTTCGAGGCTCTGGCAGGATCCCTCTCTTGGCCGCGCAGAAGTATATTCGAATAGAATATCGATTCATCAGTTTGCCTTTGGGATCAGGTACCGTGAGGCGACCGACCTTCTTTGTCATATAATGTGGTTGATCTCGAGCTTCTTCGGATGGGGTCTTGGAGATTCCGTCGCACGGGCAAACGCTGTATTTGCAGTTTCACGCTTGGCAACAAAGCATTTGAATTTGATTGGCTCCTCCATGACCAGTAGGCCCGCCAAGTACGCCGCTAAGTTTTGCAGTTTCTTACCGAGGACCCTTCTCGGCAGCCTTCGGTGACGCCGCTCCGCCGTGTTTCCTTGCTGTCTCCCCGTCCTCGTGGGGTCATGGGCTTTCCAGTTTTCAGTTGAAAGACCAGCCTGTTTCCGCTTCGCTGTGAACTTACGTTTTTGCGAAAGGTTTCGGATTTCAAGCCACAGCCTTCTGAGTATATGCCTCCGGCAGGCTTCTGCCATCAAACGTTCTCTGCAGCAAAAACGAACAGCGTGTCTCTATGCCGCAGGTGTTTGCTGAGAGTGTTTCGCATGTCGCCGTAACGTTGTTCAAGCTACCCCCCCCCGACCTCGCCCGCCTGAGCACTCCCTTCGGGAGTGTGGATTTCAAACCGCAGCCTTCTGAGCATATGCCTCCAGCCGGCTTCTGCCATCAAACGTTCCCCGCAGAAAAACGAGCAGCATTTGTTGTTGTTGTTGTGGTTATTGTTGAATATTATTACTTCTAAAGAATAATTATTGTTGGGCCCCCTGGTGCACGCCCCCCCCGCCGCGCCTAGGCCGCAGCCACATTTTCATCATTTTCGTGAGGAAGCCTCAGGTAAAACGATGTGATCCAGATCCGGTTGTTTTGATGTAATCCGCTTTCCCTTGCAAAAAACACTATAAAATGAAATTTCTTGTTCTAACATATCCAAATTCAAGAATCCCTTGCAAAAAATAAGGTAAAGTGGACATTCGCGCGCGCAAGACGAAATCCTTCCAAAACCTTAGTTTTCGTAGCGATTTTAACATAAAACATCAAAAAACCAATGGTTTTTCAACAAAAAATTGTCGAAATTTCATCCCGCGCGCTCTTGCGGATTCGTAGGAAACCCAACACTTTTTAAACATTTCTGTCAAACGGGCTTTTGCGAACAACTTTTTCGAACTTCTGCAACAACGGTTGCGCACCTGCCAGGGCCATCATCCCTGTCAAATAATACCATGCGGGACACATTCGTTTTTTCTTCGCGCGCGCACGCCGTCGTCGTCGGCCGCGGGGCCCTGAATAGTAGCCACGGTCGTCCGCATGCCACGAAGTGAAGTGTCCGAACGTCATAGGGCGGGAAGCTGGGTGTGGGTGGTGGCGAAGAGTCGTTTGGAAATTTGGTAGAGCTTGAACCGGCCCCCCCACAAAGTGGGGGTATTGCCCGCCTCCTATGAAAACCCTGGCACTGGTGAGAACGGAGTGTCCCCACGTGCTAGTAATTGTTGTTGTTGTTGTTGTTGTTGTTGTTGTTGTTGTTGTTGTGCGTGTGTGCGTGCGTGCGTGCGTGCGTGCGTGCGTGAGTTTGTTTGTGTATGCCAAAGCGTTTCTGAGGGCCTAGCCGCGAAACCAAACTCATTATTCTTGCTGACTCCGCCTTGTCGGTGCGCGCGAGGCCGCCTCCGCCAAAAGGCGAGCGCGCGTGCGTGCGTGCGTGCGTGCGTGCGTGCGTGCGTGCGTGCGTGCGTGCGTGCGTGCGTGTGCGTGTGTGTGTGTGTGTGTGTGTGTGTGTGTGTGTGTGTTGGGTTCGCGGGGACCCCTGCGGGACGCGTGCGATGAGGTGTGTGTTTCTGTGGTGCTCCTTGAGAAGCAGTCACTCTCGTCGCCACTTTCGAAGATGCCCAGTGAAGATGGAGGCGAGTATAGTGATGACGAGGACGAATGTGGTGGCAACACCTGGGCTAAGGTGGAAAGAGTGGGAGCCTGGACGACTGCTGTTGCTTCTGTCGCCTTTTCCTGCTCTTCCTTGGACGTCGCTTCCCTTTCGTTCTCCTCCTTTTTCTCCTCGTCATCCTTCCGCCCTCCCCCCTTAATCCCCTTCCCTCCTGTCCCTGCCCCCTTCGCCCCCAATCTCCTCTCCCGCCCCTTTCTCCCTTCCGCTCCCAATCCTTCCCTCCCGTCCTCCCATCCTGGCATCCCTCTGTCCCCTCCCCACCCTACATTCTATTTCTGGCCTCTTCGAATCTGCCGCCCTTCAGCACTCTTGCAGGGCTAGAGCAAGTCCCAGTGTCCTTCAACATGTCCTGCGAGGAGAGCTGCAGGCTTTGGGGGAATTCGGGGCTTGCAAGGGACTTATTGTGTACATGTACATATACACATGCACTGATATGTATGTATGTGTGTATGTGTGTATGTATGTATGTATGTATGTATGTATGTATGTATGTATGTATGTATGTATGTACGTATGTATGTATGTATGTATGTGTTTATATACATATGTAGTATATGGCTTATATGTCTAGCTATACATATAACTACAATTATACATATATATATGTATATATATATATGTATATATATACATATATACAAGACTGCACTGGCGCTGCGCGCCATGCGACTTGGCCCTTTGAGATCTGCACGGAAGCGGAATGCATGCGTGCGTACATGCGCGAATGCATGTATACACGCGCACGTGCATGCACGTTCCGTATACATGTCTAGGTGTATACAATATACTTACATTGTTGTATGTGTGTATACAGCGTACATATGTACATGTAAATTTATGTGTGTAAGGGTACGAGCATGCATATGCAACTCGTACGGGGCATCCTCAGGCATCTTCGCTGCATGCCACGAGACCCTCAACGACTGGGTCACAATGTGAAATGTCATAGAAGCAAAATCAATGAATGTTGGCATTCGGAAACATCGTGGGGCTGTTTTCGGGGCCCTCGTGGGCCGTTTTGGCGCCTTCATGGGCCGTGCTGGGGCCTTCTTGGGCCGTCTTGGGGAGCTTGGGCCCGCTGGAGCCTCCTTTGGACCCATCTTGGGCACTTTCGGGGACCTCCCATGGCCCTCTTGGGTCTGTGCTGTGAGCCCTTGGGTGGCCTCTTGGTTCCATTATGGGCTGTCTTAGGGCTCTCGTGGGCGATCGTGGGGCCCGGCTTGGCCGTCTTGAAGCTTTCTTGGGGGCCTTTTGGGGCGTCTGGAGGCGATCTCGGGGGCTTTGAAACCGTCTTGAAAGCGGATGGAATCCGAAAGGCGAATATGCTAAAATTGTAAGTTTTACGAAGGGAATGGGGCGATTTTTGTGGTTTGAAGGCCCCTTGGAAAGCTTTTTGGGGTGCCTTGGGGGTCTTTATGTTGGCATTCGGAAACATCGTGGGGTAGCCCTTTTGGGTCTGTGCTGGGAGCCCTTGGGGGGGCCTCTTGGTTCCATTATGGGCTGTCTTGGGGCTCTCGTGGGCGATCGTGGGGCCCGGCTCGGCCGTCTTGAAGCTTTCTTGGGGGCCTTTTGGGGCGTCTTGAGGCGATCTCGGGGGCTTTGAAACCGTCTTGAAAGCTGAGGAAATCCGAAAGGCGAATATGCTAAAATTGTAAGTTTTACAAAGGGAATGGGGCGATTTTTGTGTTTTGAAGGCCCCTTGGAAAGCTTTTTGGGGTGCCTTGGGGGTCTTTATGTTGGCATTCGGAAACATCGTGGGGGTGTTTTCGGGGCCCTCGTGGGCCGTTTTGGCGCCTTCATGGGCCGTGCTGGGGCCTTCTTGGGCCGTCTTGGGGAGCTTGGGCCCGCTGGAGCCCCCTTTGGACCCATCTTGGGCACTTCCGGGGACCTCCCATGGCCCTGGGTCTGTGCTGTGAGCCCTTGGGTGGCCTCTTGGTTCCATTATGGGCTGTCTTAGGGCTCTCGTGGGCGATCGTGGGGCCCGGCTCGGTCGTCTTGAAGCTTTCTTGGGGGCCTTTTGGGGCGTCTGGAGGCGATCTCGGGGGCTTTGAAACCGTCTTGAAAGCTGAGGGAATCCGAAAGGCGAATATGCTAAAATTGTAAGTTTTACGAAGGGAATGGGGCGATTTTTGTGGTTTGAAGGCCCCTTGGAAAGCTTTTTGGGGTGCCTTGGGGGTCTTTATGTTGGCATTCGGAAACATCGTGGGGGTGCCCTTTTGGGTCTGTGCTGGGAGCCCTTGGGGGGGCCTCTTGGTTCCATTATGGGCTGTCTTGGGGCTCTCGTGGGCGATCGTGGGGCCCGGCTCGGCCGTCTTGAAGCTTTCTTGGGGGCCTTTTGGGGCGTCTGGAGGCGATCTCGGGGGCTTTGAAACCGTCTTGAAAGCTGATGAAATCCGAAAGGCGAATATGCTAAAATTGTAAGTTTTACGAAGGGAATGGGACGATTTTTGTGCTTTGAAGGCCCCTTGGAAAGCTTTTTGGGGTGCCTTGGGGGTCTTTTGGGCCGTCCTGACGCAATTGGAGTCCCTCTTGGAGCGCTCTTGTGCTGTCTGGGGCCTCCCTTGAGCCTTTCTGATGACCCCTCGGATCGCTCTGGGTCTGCTGGCAAGGCGTTTGTGGAGACCCGGAAAGCCGGGTGACCTTTTCCAAGGACGTCCAAGGGAGCCCGAGAACCCCAGATCCCGGGGGTCCAGTTTTGGGGGGGGGGGGGGGACGGTTTCCCCCCCCCCCCGGGCTTGCAAACAGATAGGAAGAATAATCTATACACATATTTACACACATATATGTCGCTCTTTGAAGTTAATTGTGCCTCGCCTCTGTTGAGCACGACCGTATGAATACTTGTGCTCAAGGTTTTCGGCAGGAGCCACGACCGCGCACATCCGCTCTCGTGGATTTGGTCGGAGTTGGCGCGCGCCCCGCCGTGCCCTGGCTGCTGCGTGGGGCCGCCTGCGCGGCCTGCCCGCCGCGGCCATCGCCTGCGCGCTGACGTGCTGCGAGCCGGCATCCAGCCTCACCGAGTCCTTCGACGAGTGCCCGCCTGCTGGCGGGCCGGCTAGCTGGCGCCGGACTGGGCGCCGCGCTGGGGGCCGTGCTGACGCGGGCTGTGGCCGCTGGACCTCACCGGTCATCCGCGTGCGGCCCGAGCTGAAGCCGCTGGCACCGCCGCTGGCCGCCGCGCCGTCGCCTGGGGCCGCGGCCCCGTGCCAGCGCGCCCAGCGGGCATGACGGCGCCATGGCGCAGGCCTCGCTCGACCAGCCCGAGCCGCAGGGGCTGGTGGTCATTCCCGACGACGCGGTGCGGCTGAGGTGGCAATACAGGCCGCCGCTGGTCCAGACCCCCACCGCGAGCGTGTGGATCGCCGACGCTCCCGACTACTCGGTCCAGAGGCCCAACTTGAACATGCACCGCGTGGTGGCCCTCGGGCGCTTCGCGCCTTCCCCGCCGCCCAGTGGATCGAGAATTACGTCTTCCCTTCGGTTCGCAGCGTCGGGGACGAGGTGTCGAAGCGGATCGTCTCGGATCCCACCTCCTTCATCACGCCAGGTGCTCACGGCGACGAGGACTACCTCTACGTTTTGGTGCTGACCGACAATGGCTGCGGGCCCCGGCAGGGAGCCCTGGGAGCGCGCCCCGGATTCGGGCCGCAAGCGAGACGCACGGGCCACAGGTGACGTGACGGACACGGTCAGCGGCCAGCAAGTCTCCACTTTGGTCGGGTCGCAGGGCTTACAGCACGCCGCCCCCGAGCAGCTCTTCTTCGTGGCAGGCCAGAGGGTCTCTCACGAGTACGTGTACTGGCTGCGGGCTACTGGCATGGAGTGGGTCACTCACCACCTGGGCTTCGCCCGCAAGTCGGGCGCCTCGCCGAGCCGCAACATCACGCGCTGCCACCAGCGCCTCACCGACGCCCTGCACGCCTCCCTGCTGCAGGACATGCTCAGCTCTCCCGGCCCCGCGGGGGTCGAGGTCCTGGTGCGCTACCTCGTCCAGGTCAAGTTGGCGGTCGTCCGCCACCCTCGAAGCCCAGACTTCCAGGACCTCAACGCGGTGGTCGCCCCGACGGCCGACGAGTTTGGCGGCTTCGTCCTTCCCGTGTGCTCGATGTACATCGCGGTCATCCAGAAGGATGAGGCATTTCCGCTGAGGCAGCGGCGGCAGCCGCGTGAGGAGCAGGTCTCTCGCGGCCAGGGCCGAGGTTCTGGCAGGTGGGAGGACGGCGGTGCAGGCGGACACCGTGGAGGCGGCGGAGGCGGTGGCCGCGGCCACGGCTGCGGGCGTGGATGGGACGGCGGACGCGGGCGCGGCGGTCGAGCACACGGCTCGGCCGCCGCGGAGGCATGACTCCTGTCGCGCGGGCTGCGGAGAGGCGGCGCTCACCCCGGCGTCGCTCGGCCTACGTTCCCTCCGCAGTCCGCTTCTCAGGGGGCCGCGCGCGAGGCCCTGCCGCCGAGGGGGCTCCGCGTTTTTTGACAGGTCGCGCTCACGGCGACCCTTTCCCTCTGCCGCTCCTGGGCAGATCGACGCCAGCGGGGGTGCTGCCACCCGGGCTCTCGCGTGGCGTGCGGCGGCGGTGCAGCCAGGCGGTCATGGCTTTGAACGACCTGGACGCGCCGCTGGCGGCGGCGCGGCGTCTCGCTTCGGTCTTGCCTGCGAACGCCGCCCAAGCATCGATTCTCCAGCGCATTCATCAGCGAGTGGAAGCCTTCGGCGACCCGCTCGGCGTGGACGGTGATGAGGCGCTTCTCTCCATTTTGAAGTCCAAGGACGTCTACAGCGGCAGGCCAACGCCAGTTCGGCCGTGCGAGCCGCACCTTTTGAAGATTCTCGACAGCGGCATTCGCCCGTTGCCCATCCGCTCGCTGGTGCCCGCCTCCATGCTCCCGCTCATCAACGAGCCCGAGAAGTTCATCTTCCGTTCCCAGTCGGTGCTGGATGGCATGGTCGAGTCGGGAGAGCTGCCGCCCGTCTACCCTTTTGGGACGTCAACCTGCGGCGAAGCCCTGCCCTGCGGCTCGACCTCTTTAAGAAGCTCATGCGCGTCGGCCTCGTCGGAGTACGTGCGCGGTGCCGCGCCCGTGCCGGCATCTTTTTCGTCTGCAAAAAGGACGGTTCGCTGCGCATGGTCATCGACGGCCGCGAGCCCTCCGGCTTGCACCGTCGCCCTCCGCGGACCGAGCTGGGCTCCGCCGGGGCCCTCAGCGGCCTCTGCCTCGACTCGGACCGGCTGTGCGCCAGCGACGATGGCTACCACGGGGCTAGCGCGGACCTGCGCCAGGGCTTCTACCAGATGCAGTGGCTCGAGATCGGCAGCTGGCTCTGCTTTGACTTCCCGATGGCCATTCGAAATTTCGACACCGACTGCGTCTACGACGAGGTGAGCCAGACCTACCTTCAGGTGGAGCCTGACACCATCGTGTACCCGTGCTTGCAGGGGCTCGCCATGGGCTGGAGCTGGTCGCTCCACATCTGCAACGGCATCACCCAGGACGTCACTCGCATCGGCATCAGTCGGGCTCTAGGCGTCTCGCCCGACAGCGTCAGGATGGTCTCGGAGCGCGCCCCCAGCGCGCGGCTCGCCCCAGGCCAGCTGGCGGGCTCCTCGTATGTCGACAACGCCAACGTCGTGGGCTCGCCTCGCAGCCTGGTCAACGCGGCGCTCGAGGGCATCCTGTGCGAGTTTGAGCGGCGGGGGCTCTCCTATCACGAGGTCTGCTACGGGACAGGACTTCGTGTGCTGCGGTGTTCGGTTCGACTTCACAGCGGGTCGGGCCGTCCCGCAGCGCGAGCGGGGTTGGCGACTCCATCGGGCGGTGACGGCCATGTTGGATCGCGGCGGCTGCACGCCGGGGGCAATGGAGGTTCTGATGGGCCACATCGTGCACCATTTCATGCTCCTGAGGCCCGCTCTCTCCGTACTGAGCTCGCTGTATCGCATCGTGTGCTCTTCCCACGACTACTGCAAATTCGACGTCGAGCAACTGCGCGAGCTCAACCTCGTGAAGGCCCTGATCCCGCTAGCCGGCGTTGATCTCGGGGCTCCCTGGCATCCTTGGGCCTACTGCTCGGACGCCAGCCTCTAGGGCTACGCCGTGGCCACGTCCCGTTTCGACCCAGACGAGCTGATGGACATCGGCGCCTACCGCGAGCGCTGGCGCTCCCTGGCCGTTGATCGCTACGTTGATGACCCTGGGGGCCCTCCTGGCTTTGAAGTCGCCGTGCAGGCCGGCTTCGTCGCGGGCGCCGCTGACGACAGCCTCTTCGCCGGCATCGGGCAGCCGCCGCCGGGGCGAGGGGCCCCGCGGCGACGCCGCCCGGCCAGGATCGAGGTTGAGGCAGCGGCCGCCGCTGCCGGCGGCAGCGGCATCCCGGCGCTGCCGGACGCGGCGCTCGCGGCCCACCGCTGGCAGCTCGTCGTGCGTGGCGCCTTCCTCTTCCCAGCGCCGATCCACGTGCTGGAGGGCCGGGCGACCCTCCTGGGGCTCAGGCGCGCCACTCGGTCGGTGGCCGCTCATGGGTGCCGCGTCCTCTCCATAGGGGACAATCTCTCATCCATGATGGCGTTCGAGAAGGGCAGGTGTGCCAACCCAGTCTTGCGCCAGCTGGCCTGCCAGTCCGCAGCCAGACAGCTCGCCACGGGGATCCAGCACTACCACCGCTACTCCGAGAGCAAGCGGAACCCCACCGACTACGACTCCAGGGCGGCGGATCGGTTCGAGTTGGCGCCAGGCCAGACGCAGCGTGGAGCAGCCCGCGACCTGCGCGGGGGTCCCGTCGGCCCGCTCGGTCGCCTCGCGTCGCCCGCGGTCGCGCAGGGCGAGCCGCTGGCAACGCCGCCAGTGCCGGCGCCGCCGCCCGCCCCGGGCCTGGCGCGCTCGCCCGCGCCGGCTGGGGCCGGGCCTCACCGCCTGCGGGCTCCGCCACGCAGCCGGCGCCGCGCCCGGCACGTCCTCGAGCTCTACGCTGGTTGCGCCCGCCTCGCGGCCGCCTCGCTGGATGAGGGCCTTCGGTGCTGGGTCCCCGTCGACATCTCCAGAGGCGCGTGGCGCGACCTGACCAACAGGAACGTGATCCGTGTCATCCGTTCTCTTCTAGTGCGGCGGGAGGTGTGGTACGTCCACCTCGGCACCCCGTGCGCGCCCTTCAGCCAGGCCACGCCCGCGCAGGCCCAGGCCAAGCATGCGGCCTCCGGCGCTGGCGCTGTCTCGTTCACCGTCGACCTGCTTCGTCAATGTGATCGTTTTGGCGTAAAGTGGTCGCTCGAGAATCCATCATCGTCACGTCTTTGGTAGCTCTCAGAGGTCACTACCTTCTTGGAACGTCATTGTCATTACTTCGTCAACGTGCATTACTGTCAGTACAATTGCCGCTACCTGAAGCCGACTACCCTGGTCACCAACCTGAGACCCCTCCAGGCCCTAAGTGCTAGTTGCTCTCGCGATCATGTTCACGAAGTCCTCGCAGGCAAGGTTCGTCTGGGTCCTGGTCGGGGTTCTGCTTGGAAGACCACTCTCGCTGGACGTTATCCGGAGGCCTTGGCTCGCAAGTGGGCTAGCATTCTGCGTTCATGCGCGCCTGAAGCTGCTTGTCTGGATGGTGCGCGGCCTGAATGCCAAGGGGGGGCTCGCCCGGCTGCCGCCGCCGGCTGCCGCGCCTGGGCGCCCACGCCCGATCCTGTCTGCCCGCCCGCGGGCCACCGGGAGTGGCAGCCGCGCCAGCTCGGCTGGGGCAGCAGCATCGCGCAGGCGCGCGCCGCCGAGCGCGACCGGCGTCGCCGTTGCAGCCAGGTCGGCGTCAGCGGCGGCGCCGAGCAGCTCGTGGCCAAGGCGCCCTCACCCCGGCATCGGGCAGCAGAGGTTCGCCCACAACGAGGTGGCCCACCGCGACTTCCTGGCGGGCCGCCGGATGAAGCCGCTGACGCAGCAGCCCTACGGCCGCATGGCCGCGGAGGTGTGGCGCTTCGCGAAGGTGCTTCACTACCCGCTCACCACGGCCACGCAGAGGGTCCAGCTCATGGTGGGCTACCTGCAGGGCATCTTCGTGGCGGGGGTCGGCTACGCGTTCGAGGAGAAGATCGACCTCAGAGGCACGTCCGAGTTCGGGCAGGCCCGCCTGATACTCAGGGGCTGCTCCAGGGCGGCGCCTGGGAAGCCGCGGGACCCGCGTTCCTGGCAGGCGGTGCTGCTCATGGTCGATCAGTGCCTCGGCTCCTCGTGGCCGCGCCAGCGGCTGGTGGGGTCAGCAGTGGCCGTGGCCCTCAACGGCTCAGTGCTGCTCAGCGTGAAGGCCCGCGTCGTCACGAGCCTCCAGCACTTCGCGTCGCCGGCCTACCCCCAGGTCTCGAGCTCCCTGGTGCTCGCGGCGCCGCCAGACTGCCCCGAGACGACGAAGTCTCGCGAGTGCGACGACAGGGCTATCGTCGGCGGCAGCACGGCAGCGGCCGCCCCGCGGCCATGGGCGGCCGGGCCCGTCCGAGACCTCAAGAGGGCCACCCCGGTCGCCTGGCCGCTCTTCCCGTTCGCAGCCCGTGAGTTCCAGGCCGCCCTTCAGCAGGCGCGGGACACGGCCGGCGGCAGAGGTTGCGCCCCTGTCCCCGCGCCTTGCCGCGCGGCAGTGCATCGGTCGGCCGCGTCCTGCTGGGCCGTTCACTCGGGAGGTGCGTCGTCACGGCCGCTGGACCTAGCCGCGAGCGTGAATCGGCATGAGAGGCCGGCCGCTTGGCCCGACAGCTGCCCAAGCCCCGCAGTGCTCAGTTGTCGGCCGCCGGCCTCGTGAGTAAAAGACTCGCCGCCAGAGCTTCTCTCGACTTTGGCCGCATCGTGACAAGGTGAGCCCAATATTGCCCCCTAGCTACCTTGAGGCCTCACCAGCTCCCACTACGGGAAAACATGGGTGCTGCCTGTCTGCAGTTTTGTTTCGTGCACGACTGTTTGATAGGCCTTGCTTCGTTGGCGTACAGATTGGATTTGATTCGGCTCTCGGCCGAACGATGCTGCAAAAGATGTGACAATGATTTGTTGTACAATCTTACTGGCTTCCGCCAGCGCCGCCATCTCTGGTCGTGCGTCCTGGGGGCCTTGCATAATGTCGTTCTTTGAAGTTGATTGTGCCTCGCCTCTGTTGAGCACGACCGTATGAATACTTGTGCTCAAATTTTTCGGCACCGTCCGCCGTCGCCCACCGCCACCTGGGTGCTGCCTGTCTGCAGTTTTGTTTCGTGCACGACTGTTTGATAGGCCTTGCTTCGTTGGCATACAGATTGGATTTGATTCGGCTCTCGGCCGAACGATGCTGCAAAAGATGTGACGGTGATTTGTTGTGCAATCTTACTGGCTTCCGCCAGCGCCGCCATCTCTGGTCGTGCGTCCTGGGGGCCTTGCATAATGCATATATATATATATGGACACACATACAATATGCATATTCATATGTATAAGTATATCTGTTTACAAAGTATGTATGTATGTGTATATTGATTTGCATATATATATATATATATGTATTGAAATAGGTGTGTATGTATGTATGTATGCATGTATATACGCACGTACGTCTGTATGTATGTATGTATGTATGTACGTACGTACGCATGTATGTATGTATGCATGCATGTATGTATGTATGTATATATGTGCATGTCTGTGTGTATGTATGTATGTATGTATGTATATATATATAGATGATCACATCGCACGAGGGATACACATAGCTGTA